TAACACCCAATCTGTTTTTTGTTGTATATATAATATGCATGTTGTTGCTGAAAATTGATATACAGCCTAATAAAACTTCCTGTATATTATAACATACGTCCATAGTTAAAATTTGGTAAACTGCATTCGTATTCTGGTTCTGTGTGATACATTGGTAATATTACTTCCTGCTTCTGGTCTTGATGTCCTAAGTTGAGCCTTGACATGAGGACATGATCTTCACGGAATCTTGGTTAATTTGGGCATTTGAGGCCTGAAGTGTATTGCATTGAACATACTGTTACTTCTTGATATTATGAATACTTTGTGTGCTTCTATTTTTCCTTTGATTCTTGAAGCTACTTGATACTGAATATCTTACCTGATTTTATTTGGTATTGCCAAATTTTAATTCTACATTTTCTTTTTCTGTTGAACATTGAACCTCAAATATTTTTTTTGTCTATTGATTAAGAACTCCAAATGTCAACTACTAAGTTTGAGCTCGAGGTTTTTAATGGAAAATGGGACTTCTCCATTTGACAACAAAAAATGAAAGTGGTCCTTATTCAACAGAAAGTTGCAAAAGCTATAACTGTCGAATTTTTGGATACTATGACTGAAGAACAAAAAACAGAATCTGATGAACTTGCCTATACCTCTATCATATTGCATTTGTCTGATCAAGTGTTAAGAAAACTTGGAAAACTTGATAATGCCAAGGCTTTGTGGGATAAACTTGAAGAACTGTATTTATCAAAGTCTTTGCCAAACAAAATTTTCTTTTGGAAAGATTCTCCAGTTTTAAAATAGACCCTTCTGAAGATTTAGAAGATAATCTTGATGTCTTTAATAAATTGGTTCAAGCTATAACTAATTCTGATGATAAGGTTTCAGAGGAATACAAAGCTGTCATTCTTCTAAATTCATTACCTGAAGCCTATAAAGATGTTAAAACTGCTATTAAGTATGGCAGGGATGAATTGACTCTTGAAGTTGTTGTTGATTCATTAAGAAGTAAAGAATTAGAACTTAAATCTGAAAGGCATGGAAGGGAATCTAAGAATCTGTTTGCTAGAGGTAGATCACTGACCAGGCAAGCTAGTAGTCATGAAAATCAAAATCATCAAGGAAATAACAATAACAATAAGAGATGGAAAGGAAGACCTAGGTCAAAGTCTAGGACTGGAAATAGAAAGTGTTATGGATGTGGTAAAACTGATCATTTTATTAAAGATTGTTACAAAAAAAAAGAATGAACAGAGAGAGAAAAAGGTAGATGAGGGAAATGTAGTTGAGCCCCTAGGAGATAAAACTATGGATGTCTATGTTGTTATAGAACCTATTACTAACCTTAATACTGTGAATTTTTCTGAAAATAATGACCAGGGTCAAGAGTGGATCCTTGACTCTAGCTGCACCTTCCATATGACTTCTAAAAGAACTTGGTTAGAAAATTTTAAAGAAATAAATGGTGTTGAGGTAGTAATGGGTAACAGTGCTGCATGTAAAGTTGAAGGAATTGGCAGTGTGACTTTGAAATTTGATAATGGATATATCTTTACCCTAGAAAGAGTAAGATATGTTCCTGATTTAAATAGAAATTTAATTCCAATGCGAAATCTAGATGACATTGGCCTAAAAGATAAATTTGGTGATGGATTGTTAAAAGTAATTAAAGGTTCACTTGTAATATTCAAGGGTGCCAAAAGGAATGGTATATATGTCACTAGAGTTGAAGTTATTTCAAGTCACATTGCTGAGTCCTCTACAGCTGAGGTTGATGCCACTTTAAAATGACACAACAAGTTAGCTCATATGAGTGAAAGAGGTCTGTACATCTTGAATTAAAAAGGTGTTCTTGGAAAAGATAATATTTCAAAAATCCCATTCTGTGAGCATTGTACTCTAGGTAAACAACATAGACTTCACTTTAATACTAGAAAGCATGAGACTACTTCAATTTTGGAAT